AATCAAATCAGCGAAAGTGGACAAAAATAAATCAGCCCATAATTTTGCCCTAAAACAGGGGGAATAAATCGACGTTCGCCAAACGACCTTAAGAAACCCGGGAAATAATCGTATAGAAACAAACAGGAATCAATTGTTTAGCTTGTGGCAATTTATTTGTTGACGTCCACAAAAACCATTGAAAAACTGTAGATAACGGATAGTTCTGATACGTGCTGTTTCTAAAGAATATTTTCCCGTATATTTTTTAAGGCTTTTAGTCATTTTCTCAAGTTACTTTTTGAAGTTCTAAAATGCCCCCAAACGTGATTACTTTATACGTGCAAATAAAACGCCCGAACAGTAGCACAAGTTTTTCCAGACAAACACAAAAATATCGAGCATGAAGAATTTTAGGGGAAGCAGTAGCTGACTTAGGTTTTGGCATGAAGGATTAAAAACACTTTCTACCTTTTTTCTTCGTTTTTTCAATGTTCGTGCCCATTTTTTTAATTTCTGTGGCTGGTCAATTTTTGCCAAAACAATTGTCAAAAAATTGACTCCAATTTAAATTTTTTTCACTTTTTCGGTTATTTATTTTACTTTCTCGAAATTCAAATGTGATGTTTACTAAGCTTCCAATGCCATGCGATTCTAAACTTGATTATGTTATTCAATCATTATTTAAAAACTGTTCAAAACTCAGGGTACTATAATATTTCGGTCTGTGGTTTTATAGCGACAAATTCAAAGCAAACTTAGCGTGAATAAACTTGAAATGTAGGTTAGCTCTCAAACAAGAATCGATATTATCAAACAGAGGAAGAGTTGATACAAGTTCAAGAACGTCAGAGCAAATATATTGAGTGGAAGGGTATAGGGATTTGTTTTTATCAATTAAAAGTCCGGGTGAGATTATCTTCATGTGGTTCCAAAACCAATCTGGGTTGCACATATTCGATTTCACCATTTTCACCCGATATATTGCAAATTAATTGATTTGCAAACGTCAAAACCATTTCACCCCTTCTGGTAAAATTCGATTTCACCGTTCTTTTTTCAACTTCAATTCTCACATAAGTGAGTGAATTCGAACTTTTTTTCAATATTGCTATAAATTTGAATCAAAGAACTATTTCCGTTCCATAAATTGACTGACGTCCTTTGAACAATAATCTGACGCAGAACGCCAACTCTTTGATTTAACATCACTGTAAATATTAAGTGGAATTATGTCGCCGTTTTTCATTTAGTTTGAGAAAAATTGTTCTAGCCGCGTCAGTGAACACATGTTTTATATTTTTATCTAGAGTTGGGCGTTAGGCTATCGGTTTAAAAAACTGAAATTAAAAAAACATTTGATTATATTCGTTACTTTTATCTAACGGAATGTTGGCGGCCTCGTGTGGATTAGTGAGTAGCAATTTATTTATTTAGTTCTTCAGGCATTGATTATAAAACTGCAACTTCGGACAAAATTTTATAGACGACATTATAGCGTGCCGGGGGGATGGGGGGTTGGGGTGCTGCCAGCGGTGATTGCATCTTCTACCAGTTCTTGCTGCCAAACTATTCGCAAAGGGTCCTATTTGGTACTGTTTTACGACATCCGTTTTTGGTTGACCCTATCCTAAAATTCTGACGGCTCCTTCAGGCTCAATATCCACTCAAAATATGAAGGAAGCGCGATTATTTTTGTCAAAATTTCCTTGAAAAGTAACCCTTTGCCTGTTTTTTTTTCTCAAAAAATTGCCCCCGGCGCTGAAAGTTTTGACAGAAAGTGTACTCCAGTATTTTGAGACAGCTCGGATAATCAATTTCGTCGTCCTACGGAAACACTCGAAACCACCCCTCTCCTCAAAAGTTATCTTGCGAATACTCATTTTTGAGAAATTCGTTTGCCATTAAAAGAAAATATTATTAAATATTGGCTCAGATTCTAACCCAGAAACTTAATTGAGAGCGCTTCCTGTTTCAGGTTCCAAACTATCAAAAAACTCTTTTCCGGTGCCGTCTAGATCGGCGCGCTTTACACGCGTAGGCGCTTGCACACGCGATTTCCATCACGCGTTTTCAGAAAGAGTTAATTTCTCTGGCTCGCAACACGCAACACGTATCATCCCGATGGTGAACAATAAACCCTCCAACCTCAGCCAAAAAACTGGCACATAATTTAATGAAAGTGACAAAAACTAAAGTAATATCAAAAAATGACTAAATCAGCCTATTTTTTTTACTAGAACGAAATATGTGGGCGCAATATTAAAGTTAGTTAAGTTGTTTTCTCCGGAAAAATTTTGATTAAAGCTTTTTGACGATTTCTCATTTGATTTAAGTAATACGTTCCTATACCATTTTAATATACAAATGCTTCTTTCGGAGACTTGGATGAGATTAGATGAAAAAACTGAAAAAAGCAATCATTGTCATTAGTACATTTATCAGATATAAAAATCAGACCCGCAGGTTATTTGCTTTAACTTCTGGGTATCAATACAGAAATCTCCCTGAAATTTGTCTTTTTAGTGGATGCAGCTTAACAGCCCATTAATTGAGAATTAGACCAACTGTTATCTGAAATTATAATAAGAAGAAAAAACGCTAATGAAGTTGAGGCAAGAGCTAGAATGAAAGCAATAAAATTTTTGGTAGACACTTTAAAAACCTATTAAATGGAATTGTTAAATATGTAACAATGAAAAATTCGATATCGGGTAAATTTCAACAGAGGGATTAAATGATCAGAACACTTTACCAAATTACTTGGAGAGCTTTCCTAAATATCTGCTCAACCCATCAAACATTTCAAGGCTTTTTGATTAACACAATCAATCAAAATACAACCTTCTTCTAAATGTAACTCAGGCTCAATGTCCGTTCTGGGTATTAAAAAAATTGCATGGTTTGGTAAAAAACGATCAAAAGCAAAAATTTTATCTGAATTAACTCAACTTTTGGGTTCAAATTGGGTCAATTTTCATGATACTACAATTTCGATGTAAAATCATGCTAATTATGACTAAAACAAAAAAAATTATTTCTAGGCTGATTGTGTATTTAGTCCGATAAGCTTGTTTGATTATATATCTATACATTTTATCTGTACATTGTCTGTTTTGAATATCGATTTGAAAGTCAGGCGTTTTGTGTTTGAAATTTGTGAAACTTTAGCCTGCTCTTCCTAAAAATTATCTCTTCAGCTTCAGGGTGGCTTAAAATATTATAGAATAGCTCTTTGTTATGTTGATTACAGAGCGTTCTGCATAGTACTTTGACTAACTCATATATATGAAATTCTTTTGTGCAGCATATATTGTACTAGTAGCTGTTCGTTAATATTTTTCAAGGAATCAACTTTACGAGGAGAGACAAGTGTATGTAGCGTTTTGTTCTGGTTCAGTCTAGTTTGTTTTTTGCAGTTTTTTTGCCTTACTATAGATTTCAACACCGTATTAACCAGTTAGTTGTCCTGATGACTTGTATAGCTTGATGAGAGCTGGTCATATGATAATTTTTTTTGAATTGATAACATGACTTCTGCATTCTGCAATATGATTTTTGAAAGGCAGTTCGTCATCAACACAGGTTGCCATATGTTTTACAGAGTTACTGGTTTTATAATTTATAAATGAAGGTTTTTTGAGGTCGGCATAATTGTGATCTGGTGAGCTAATGATTAGTTTTGTTTAAATCGATCGGGTTGATGGTGAGTTTAGTTTGGCCCATCCAATCAAGCTGTTTTTAAATATCTTTTTCAAATTGTTTTTGAACTGTTTCTGACAGGGACGTATATATTTGTATTATCAACAAACTCAGTAATTTTTGAATTTACGCACACTTTTTTAGTGTCATTTCTAAAAAGTGGGAAAAAAATTAGGGCCTAATACATACCCCTGTGATACACCACCTCCACATTGTCTCAATTTTGATTGTTCAGCCTGCTTTCGGTTTGAGAGATAATTCAGAAATTCTGGTTTTGGCCCTCCTAGCTTAAAAAGTTTACCTTTATGCAGAATAACATAAATATCAACAGTATCAATTGCTTTCGATAAGTTGAGAAACACGCAGCATGTTGGATCCTAATTATCCAAAGATTTTCTAAAAATTTGGTGATTTCTATCATGGTCGCGACCGTAAGGGTTTTGTCTCTTTAGCAAAAACAACTAGCATAGGGGACTTTATTCTTCTTAAAAGTTTTTGTTTACAATTAAAGTTGTTATCTTTCATTTAAAATTTTCAAGTACTTTACTCAAAACAAGTAATAAAAAAATCCGTCTGTAGTAACTAGGTTCTTTTTGATCTACCGACTTGAAAAAGGGAAAACACGGGCTGTCCTGAGCACACCTTGATCTCGAAAATATCTGACTTCAATACATCGTTTGAACAGAGTTTTTCAAACTTCTCTCAAAAATTGGTTAAAAATTGTTACCTAAAAACTGCTAATCATATAGCAGCCTTTCGAGTTCTAGCTTTGATGAGCACCAATTATTTCGAATAAATCCTTACTAGTTATTTGATCTAAAAAGATTAATTTTTTTCCTACAGTTTTTATGTTTCTGTATGATGTAAACTTGCTGGCTAGCTTTGATTCTCTATTAATAAAAAAAGTGTTATATTCCTTCGGACAAGGGGTTGTTCGGGTATTTACTACCTTGTATGATTTTTCCTTCTTTGTCTTCTTTCGGTTTCGTCGACATTTTTTTCACCTAAATGCCGTTTTTTACGGATAACTTTTATGTGCTTTTTCATTCATGCTTTTCTTTTTTTTGTATTTGGGAAATGTTTTATTATATTCAATTTTTTCCTCAGTTTCTTGAAATAAAATTTGAAACAAGGGAAAAGTTTCATCAACTTGGCGTTGTTTGAGAATTTCTAAGTAATCTGCAGACTTTTTGAGAAAAAAAAATGAGGTCTTCTGGTGTTTTAAGAATCTCTAGTTAATAACATGAGACGAGCGCTTCACTTCCTAAAACGTTCTCAAGTTAGAGAACTTTGGAGTCCACACCAACTGTGTAATGATTTGTTAGTGTTCCGACTTTCGATACGAAAGTAATGGAATATTTGTGCTCGGTGTGGGTTTTTTTTTCTTCAGACAAAATTCGACTTTTTAACTAGCCATTTTTGACGAAATTTTTTAATATCATTCAAAAGGTATTGTTGTCCTAAGTTTAAATTTGAAAAATTATTTTACCTGTGATCATTTTTCGTAACGTTATGGGGGTTTAAAGATTGCCATTTTGGCCAATTTGTGACAATTAACGCGCGATATATTTCGCGCTATTAACCCGTAATGGAAATTTAATCCGTCTTAGAAATCGTTCCAAATTGGTTGAAAGAAGCTGATTTGCCAGCATTGATTTGTTACAAGGAGCGAAATCTATCCTTTTGTGCTTTATATGGCGTATGGGGGGGATGATTTAAAAAAAATCAAACTTTAGAAGAAAAAAAAACATTTTCATTTTATTTTAATTCATTTTTCTAAATGTTTTTATTTCTCCATTAACCTTAAAAGGCAGTCGGAACACTCAGGGCTGCGCCTTGATACGAGCAGTTTTGTTGATATTTTGTCCACGAAACAGTTGGCTGGAAAAATGCAGAAGAATAAGTTAATGATGATTTATTTTGTCCACGAAACAGTTGGCTGGAAAAATGCAGAAGAATAAGTTAGTGATGATTTATTTGACGTTGACTCCCATGCGACCAGTTGTTTTGGTTAGTTTTATAGATTATGACTTTTCATAACTTCAATGATTTTCCTACTTCCCTGGTTTAATCTAATTTTTTAAAATTAAAAGCCCTGCAAGCAGTATGCATCATGCTAAGGTGGGTTAACAAATCTTATTAGATATAAATTGTTCCACAAAACTATCAATTGGATGACTAGGATAATTACAGCAACCTGATAAAGGAATGCCTTTGATTTTGGTATTCACTTGTTTTGTGATAAATTGTAAAAGCTCATTTGAGTTTGCTAGGATAAATTCAATTGCCATTTTGGATTTCATGAAAAATCCCATTCCGCCTACTCTACTGTTAGTTCTGCTCTATTTTATCGAAATTCCTCAATTTGTCAATTGATTTGCATTTTGCAGACTATTATCACTGCATCAAATTTCTCTGAAAGCAATGAGTTGCAGTTTGGTTTCGAGGCCATCTATATAAAGCTCCGGCTCGTCAAATTTTTTATGCAAAATCTGATGTTTTGTAAGACATTTTGGAAGCCTAGTTGAGTATTTAATTTACGCACACTTTTTTAGGGTGATTTCTAAAAAGTAGGAAAAAAAATTTGGGCCTAATACATTCCCCTGTGATACACCAACTCCACTTTGTCTCAATTTTGATTGTTCAGCCTGCTTTCGGTTTGAGAGATAATTCAAAAATTCTGGTTTTTGCCCTCCTAGCTTATAAAGTTT